TGTAATTCTTCAATTTCTTGATTGTAAAATTCTGTCTTCGACAATCGATGTTGTTTAAATATCGCAGTTGATTGGATATTCAGTAGTATCTTGGTCACAATAACACGATTTCCGTGCAAAGATTTCGACAACCGACAGATAACAGGGTTTCGAGAAATGCAGGTTGACGAACATTATCAGAAAGTGTTATGTTCATGGCAAGGCAATGACCTCATTCGGGACAGTAAGAAGTTTTGCGTGTTAATTCCTTTCTCACCTCGGACCTTTCTTACCTAGATTGACCAGGATTTACGTGGCGATGAAGCAGGATGCTTATTCTTCTGAAATTGTCAGGGATCAGTTTGGTTCATATTTTGATCTCGTTTCCTCGCCCCTGAGTTTATTAAAAAAAATGTAGCCATATTGGAATTTCTTTCAGATTTCTGTTTTTAATCTGGACAATATAACAGTAAGTTTCACAGCTGAACTGTCATAACTTCTATAATTGTTCCAATGTTAATCAATTTGATCGCTGTATTTGTTTCAATGCGTTGTTTTCAATTCGGACATGTCAACTACGTATCATTACAGCTTTATATAAAATTATATTAAGGTGCATTGGACGATTCTAAACAAGTGCAGCCATTGATGAGAGAAAAGTGTATAAAATCCGGAGACCTAACACACAATACGGTTATCGTACCATACTACTCAAACGGGAAGTACGCTTCGTGCAGTTGATAGAATCTGGATCCCCCACATCACTGAAATCGATGGACCCGTTAGTAACGTAGTGTTTTGGAACATAAATTTCCCATCCGATTTCATAAATATTCTACGATGGTGGCCTGTGTAAGTTAATGGATACCGCCGGAAGTTATATCTACACGGCGGTGAATTATTATACACGATGCATAATAGAAATCCTATTCAACTTCGAGGATAATTATATAGTAAACTACAGAGACATTGAGATCAAACAGTTCGTTTGGCCTGGCTTGCCTCCGGTACGAATTGATTTACATAACGATTGAGGTGCCAAGTGACCGCGTTCACGCTTCCAACATCCATTCTAAATAAACAACGGCCTTAGGTGTTGTGAAATGAGTAAAAGCTTAGACTAAAATCGCACTACACTTTACCACTCATATATTGCACTGGATAAGAAATGTAAATACCAATAACAGTTACATGCTAGTTTGAGCGAGAACATTAATAAATTTAGCACTAGCTGTTTGGATCCACACTTCCAATTTATTGCTTGGTGATCCCTTATCGGCAAATGAGTAATATTTAATGTCAGTAGGTCAACTGTCGTATAAAACTGATGAATACGTAAATCATGTACCGTAAATCATTTCCTACCACAGAGTTTTATATAGGTTTATTTTTACAAGGTGTTTCACCCCGACTACTGTTTCATGTGTCACAGTACCCCAGAAATATAGAGTTATATATAAACACCCATTACCGGTTAATTTGTAATAATTATAATGATATTAATTCAATTGTATAATTTAATAAAAAAAATACAGGCAAACGTTTCAGCGACTTGATGTAAAAGATTTTCGTGGAAGAAATCGTCAACTGACGACCAAACTAGTAACGCAGGGTTTCAAGAGATGCAAGTTGATGAAAATGATTAGGACATTTTCTAGTCGTCATCGTGATATCATTCGGAAATATCTAAGCTGGAGGTTTCTGATGCTTGTTAGTTTGCCTGCTGGTTCCGTCATTGTAAGCCTTGTTCTCACCTTAGAATGTGACATTACTTATTTGGATTGACCAAGCGAGTGTTGTCGATGAAGCAGAAGACGCTTAGATTTCTAGAACCCCTGGTCTTTGCTTTTTTTCAGGGGTCGCCGTCTAAATCTTTCTTTAATTCATAGTTTGTCCTAGTTGTATTGAATTTGAGTTTGGATTATGATATTGGCATGTTGGTATTTTCTTGTTGTTTTTGTTAACATAACGATGTTTTAACTAGCAGTGTAGATCAATGGAATTTGAAATGGACGTTATACTAGCTTACCTTCAGTCAGGTTCTTCGATGTTAAACAACCACTGCAATCAATTGAAGTTTTTATTCTTGAGGTGCTTCTTATTTGGTAAATAAAACATGACAAATGAACGATTTGAACATGTCTTTATTTTTTGTTCAACATTATTTATTTTGTAACCACAACAACAAACGCATTTTAATTTTTATAACATGAATTAACAATAGAATTCTTATAAATTAAAACCCTTTATGGCAGAAGGTTTGCCATTATCATAATTTTATCGCAGCAAAAGCTCTGAGATAATAACAACACCACTTGAACATCCAAAGTACATCATATTCAAAGTCAAACTATATTTTTCTCACAACAATTATTTTTCCAACTTATATTGATTGCCCTTGTTGCCCCGAATGGAAACGTGCAAGTGGTCTGTGTGAAGAAACCTGAGTACCAGAGGAAAAGGCATGTGGTGAGACAGGTTACCCTATACCTTTTGCGTCCGTCCTGGGAATCGAACCGTGGACGCCCAGGTGAAAGCCATCAGACTCGATTAGCGCATTGTAGTTGTTCGGTTTTATGTCAAAATGAAGAGTAAAGTTCCTATGTGATTAGTCTTTGTTGTGGAATTTTCGCTATCTATCGCTATTATATATCTGTAATGGGCTTAGAGTTATCTCCCTTATGACGGTTCTGTCAACATTACCTAAGTGACATTAAGTTACATGAAAGGCGTTTATAAATAACAGCTAGAAACTGATAACAAAGCAGGTATTGTTCTTCTGTAATTGTTATTATTTTGGAACAGAGGTATAGGTATAACGCTACATCCCTTTCTTTACTTGTTATTATTGGTTTACTACACAGTAACAAATGCATTTGTTTTCCGCATGTGTTTGGTAATTAAATGCCCAAACCTCCAATTATAAAAAAAAAAAAAAAAACTGGACAGAAGGTCTGGCTCTGATTCCCCAAGGGATAATCAAGCACTCATTCCCATCCTTTGCAATTAACGTTGTTGCTATCACAAGAATGTCATGAATGTATTACTTTATTATCTTAATGTTTTACTGTCCGCCATGATTCTATAGTCCTACCACAGCAAACGCTGACGTATGGTTTGTATCTGATCCATTAAAACTGTGTTGCGTGATAAACAGCTATTCATTAGAGCAATACATTTGACTTGCTTATCTTCTCTTTTTATATTTAAATCTTAATGTTGTAAGAAACGCTGTATTGTAAAATAATAATTAAAATGAGAAGTTCAGAGAGATAACTAATGAAATATACTGTGTGTGTTAAAGCTGTTGATGTGGATTAACGAGTCAAAGTGTCTGACGAAGGTAATAGCCAAATTTTGGCCATCAAAGAGTCCTTGCTAAGAAGTCGTCTGTATTAATCTCATTACATGATACAGATGCGTTTATATGTGTAATGAAAAATCCTAGTTACAATATTTCTGGAGATATTCAAAGAAACTACTGGCATGAAAAAAAAATTCAAATAATTAAATTTGTTTATATCGGTAATGTAGAAATGAACACTTCCGCATGTTATATATGATAAAAAACGTTTTTCACTATACAATATTACAAACGGGAAAACATTAAGGAGCTTTTCACTGAAAATATTCGATAAAAATGTTTTAGTTATTTAATTGTATCTACGGTTCCATTACCTTTCAACCGGGTAATCGTTTTGACCCTAAAACGAAAGAAAACTTAAATCTGGTGCTTGTTGGTAATCTAGGAGAATGTGTGGAGAACACAAATATCTTTGTAAATTCCTATTGACACTGAAGATACCGGGGTATTGAAACAGAACATAACTACTTCATAGACATTTCCATAAAGGCAACAATGTCTAGCTTAAAATAATGAATGAAGGAACATTAGGTATATATATATAATTGTATATACACATGTATATATAAAAAGATAAAATGGTATAATACTGTATAGGAATTATAAAGTTTGCAATGAATTTCAGACATGTGCCAATAAATGTAATGATTATGGTAAATATCTTGGGCGAAGGGATCAAGGGACCTATGTCTGTGACGAAAGCAGGGGCGTAGATGGCCTCTCTATATTCAAACCAAATAATCGCACCAGATAAAGTTGGAGCACTATTTTCAGAAATGCGTCATAAAGGCGGAAGAATCCAAGAAGAGGGAGTGACATGCTACTAGAAACCAGAAGGACATACAAATCAAGGAACAGAGACCTCTAACTTGAAATCGTCTACAACGCAGTACTACCGATGGTAGGTCCAAGTTCACTGTTCACTGACTTGTCCCTGTCATAATGCAGGAGTAAAAGGAATTTCAGTTGTAATAATTGTTTTGCCGACTGAAAACGCATTAAGAATGATCTGAAACTGTTCGTGGCATAATGCATTCTGTTCTTTAACCAAGCATTTTGTGATATCTCCAAAATGAATTCGTGGTCTTGTAGAATATTTAATTTCGGCGTTGATATTTGACTAAGGGATTACTTCTATTTCCAGCTCTGATTCTTTGTCTAAAGGGTACTTCTTGTTCCAGCATTAATTCTTAGACGCGAAACGTAAATGATTATAAATAAGGAATGAAGACAAGTGCAAAAGCCACCTGCATGGCCCAATTTGAGTATAATGCAGTCGAGACCAAGGACCTCGACACTATTTTCACTGCTGACGTGATTGACTATGCTATGGTTCTCAGAGTGGTTTTCAGCGTTATGCAGATGGCAGCGTATCTCAGAGTAAAAAATCATTCGTGTACAAAATCATATGCAATGGATATACTTCAGGACAATGTAAATGCACAATTTATGACCACTCCGAATTATATTAAACGTTTCATGATCATCGTTAGCAACATTTGGTGGATATATGATACTGGCAAGTATGTTGAACCAACAAAATATAAAACCCCAGGCTGTGTAACAATTCACAGTTAACGACATCTCTTATTAAATTATTTCCTGATATTACAGAATAAGTATTAAAAATGAGAACAATGATAGCTGTCAGCTTTTGCTATGCTATTTCCTCTTCCGGAATCGTATCTGTGCTTCCGGCAATGTTGTTTTTCATTAACTGTTGTAATAAATGTATTGGGGACTTTTTTTCCTGTTGATCATGGGACATTGACACCACTGGGTCCGAGAATCTGCGTGCGTTTGACGCTTGGCGTACAGCACTGCTCCATGCCAACGAAAACCGTCTGGCAGCTGCCTGTAAAATGCCAAATAAATATTGATTAAACGTTTAAAGGTAGCAAATCTTTGAAGCAAAGTATTAGTGTTTGTCTTGGTATGATATATAAGGCAATTCTCCACGGTTTTCCACTTTCAAAAATACACCATTTGTTGCTTATTACTATAATAGTGGTAAATAAAAAATCTTTATATTCAAAATATGAATTAAAGTAGGTATGAAAATGCATCATAACAATATTTAAGAAAACTTCAACTATGTAAACGGATTAAAGCAATTTATTGGTTTTCTCTAGAAAAGGTGTAAAGAAGCAAAGATGAATAAAAGACGTAAAGTTCATAAAAGCTGTAATGGTGAAGGATCTATTATACGTGAATTTTCGCAAAGCCTGCTAGAGCGAACGTAGGTACATCATTTTGTACATGTAAAACTATTCACTTTGTTACACCCGAGAGGACAGTCAGTAGGAGCAACAATAATTGCTTGGGATTCAGGTATAACTTCTAAAATACAGAGTTGATACTACTAGGTAAGTTAAAGTTGGAATACCATTTACTTGACGATTGAAATTGGCATAAAATGTTTCCATTTGACAGTTGATGTGTTTCCTAGAAGTTACGCATTGTCTCCCTTTCTCTACAAAATACCATATCGATGTGTATACACCGAGCGCTACAAATGACGGAAATCTGTCAATAAATGTATATCAGCGAAACTGAATACAAAGTTAAAAACAATATGACAGACTATCCTGTTGACGGATTTAGTTTTATCATTTAGTCATATTTACCGCAGTAGAAATATGACTTCTTAACTTGAAGTAATTGAATTGACTTTATAATTCTTCTGGAAACTTTTGAATCACATAATGTTATATGGATTATTCCATGTGTGATATCTCTATCTGTATATAAAAATAGTCAATGTGAAAGCATTTCAGACAACGTCATAACACTACAAACATGTCGGTTTACACATTCTTTTGGCTGTGATATATGCTTATTTTCAATTTGGTGTAACAAAAACGATGTCTCTGTAAAATAAAATCACACTTTGCACTGACAAACGAATTACTGTGATCAAACCGTATATTTCATGTGCAAGTGATATCAGTGCTATTGACACTGTGGCTGTTGGATGTGTCTGGGGGCTAGTGATGGATTTAAAACACGCTTTACCGTGGTTAAGGTACCTATACTTGTTGTAGCGGTCTATTATTTGCTTGTCTTTCCATTTTTTCCATAGCCTGTAATATAATACATTCTCGGTTATATATAGAAGGGTTTCCGGAAATGGGAAAGGATACCACATGCAAGAAATACCAGAGGAGAGTGTTAAAGAAGAACATATAATTACAAAACCTACCTCGATTGCCATCTTCAGAGAAGTATCTTCATAGCTTACCTCGATCTTTTGCCAGGACAGCAATGCTTCTCCATAATGCAAACTATATATTCTATAGTCCCGCAGTGATAACACGTGCTTATAGCGAACTATTTATTTATACACTACATTCATTCAAAAAGCCAGCTTAATTGGTGCTTGTTGACGTACAATATAAAACAAATTAAATTTGCAATTTGATAGTGTCGCAACTATTTCTTCACATGCTCGCCATCATGCAATTTTAAAGCCACACATATGATCTTGCAACTTATAGACTTAACTATCACAAGTTCGTCACATTAAGATTAAGTGGATGAAATATCTGCTATTTCGTTGCAAAAACTGTGATGAAACATGTAATATTTGGTAAAAACACTCATGTTTATGCAAAATTCGTTTATATTTTGCAAACTTATATATTTTTTTTCCTTTTAACCCAATATCATATGTTGATGCATGCTTGGGGACGTAATAATTCTGCCATAGTGTCAGAATACAGGTCAGCAGAGACATGTAGAATACATCACAGGATAGGCAACATATGTGTTAGTAGTTGTGTGTTTATCACTGTTAGTTCGTACACCATAGGAAGTTAGCCAACACACGAAAGGGGCTGGGCTTCTGTGTACAGACAAGGAAAGGTACAGAGAATTGAAATCTTTATTGTTAAAAGAAGAGATGGTTTATACAACATTTCAGTTATCAAGTATAGGATCATCACACGTTCAACAATACAAACATATCATTGTTAAACTGATTAATGAATTGAAGGATTACTAAAATTTTAAATCAAAACAAAAACACTAACAGATACAGAATACTTAACAAAAAGTTTTGTTCGAGTATTTCATATATTAGATTCGCAGGAAGCTCTTGATAAATATTACATAAATTAGAAAATAAACATTCATGCATGTGCATATTCATGAATTGTCTCTTGAAATTATCATCTGGAAAGAAGACACGGTAGATATGATATATCCAATAATAACAGGACCTCATAAATGACTGATGAATGCTCTTCTATTACGATGGTATACAATGCTGCAATACAGTAGTTCCACGTGTCTATCACAGAAACTATATCTACGTCTAGTGCTAAGATGCAGTTTTAGTTTTACCCTTCCGTATAAGAACAGGCTTAGTGACAGTCAAAGATTTGGATTTAGTCGCTACACGTGCTGTATTAGGACCTTGGGTACTACTCGCCTTTTCTTTGTTTTCTTTATTTCTTTTTTCTATAAGTTCCTTAAGAATTTTTCGAAGCCCTACAAGCCCTTCATCATCTTTGCCTGTGCGTCGCCTTGCCCTCGTTGTTCTGTTTGTGATTTGGCGTTGCACTTCTCTCTGGACCGTCATGAATTCTCTATAGACGCAGTAGTAGAAGATATTATTGGGAAATTAAAAAATTACCTGTGATCAATTAATATGAGATCACAGCGAAGAGCTTTGAATAAAAAACAATCAATATGTTGTTATATATAAATTGATGTGCTATTGATGTATCAATTAAACTGTAATGTAAATGCGTTTCAACTGTTGAAGATGATTTCCATATTTGAAAGGAATAATATAAATAGATATGTTGACATATAATATCATAAATCTCATCTATTTATTAATTTATATTATGATTTATTATTGTTCCTGAAGTAATGAAGAAACATTAATTTTCTTACTTCACAAAAAGATTGTCTGTCATATATGTACAAATCTCGACTTATCGTTTTTTTTTTAAATAAAGTCACTTGCTATTAGGTATTCACTTCATTATACTTACTCTAAATCCACGTATCCATCACGCTTTAAATCAAGTGTCTGCATGACGATGTCCAAGTGATGTTCCGTTAGAGGTATCCTGAGATTCTGTTAAAGGTCAGAAAGCAACATAGTTGACCTTAAGCTGCCTTTATACCAAAACTGTCAAAACTCCAACCATTAACAAGTATAAATCAAATATATTGTGAACAGACATATACACCAACAGGAAGAATCATGGCAAGTCAAGAAAAAATTGGTAATCTTTTATCGAGTATTATTCTTAATTTTTTGCAAAGATAAAATTGGATTTTCAAAACATCAAACACAGAAAAGAAAAAGCGATGGATAATACGACAATTTACCGCTACTCCGTCCCTAAAATCCGTCCTGGAAAGCTGTTCTCGATTTGTCGTATCTAGATACTGGAAAAAGTCAATAAGACGAAGATTGTCTATGCGCATGTATTCCACTAAAACCAGTACAGGGTCAAATCGATTTAGGTCGTGAGGGTCATGCTTTCGTTCTTTTATGTTCATTCCGGAGGAAAGTATTTCTCCGTGGACTATCTTCATTTTCTTTGTTTCCTGTAGTTTTGTCAGTAACGTCACGAATTCTTCATCTACGGAAACATCCTAAATCAAAAGAAGTAAAGTAATGGATTACACTGTATTGAAGTGTTAGAAACCATTCGCTTAACATAAAAAACCCAAAAAAACTACCAAATAATCAACAAGCATGCAAAATCCTAACAAAGGGAAATATTTATCAAAAGTGTGAATTTGCTATAACAGAAGGTAAGATAGACAAAATTCGCTACAAAAACAGTTGTACCAAGCATGTTTTGCTGAATTTTGAACTGTTGTATATCATAGCATCGTCACGAAAACCAATATTAATTCATGACGAGGTAGTCATCGTTTATATTTTATAAAGGTCTGTTTCGTAGTTTATAATTTACTTACTTCTAAGATTAAATCCTCAATGACAGGTTTCGTTGACGACTGCAGGGCACGTAATATCGCTTTAGCACCATCTGTAGTCAAAGGGTTGCGGCCAATCTGTCAACATTATGGTTTTCATTTTTATAAAGGCTTTAATGTTTTAAGTACTGTTATTTGCTAATAGTACAGGTAAAGAAACGGTAACATATATGAAAAGGCGTTACCAGTAATTCGAACCCAGATTAATGTCAAAGAAATGAGAGTCATCAGTTTGATATAGTTACTCAAACACAAACATCAACTGTTAACTTGTAATATTTTGAAATATTGTTTCCTTTATCAAGAGTGCAAGTGACTGAATCTTGACGACAGTTCACTATTGAGTGTGTGAGTAGTCCTAAGTGTGTGGTTTTCCCATTGGAGGATTAAAACCACGTTTTCCTCATGTGCATTTTCTACATGAATAAAAGATATAGCTTCCATTCCTGAGAACCCTTTCTGCTTGATATGAAGCATTAGTTTATACAATATTCTGACATTCATTCATGATTGTCTTTGGAAAAGGGCACTACAAACTCTTCTATATTAGCCACTTATCTCAATATTTTTCTACAACGAAATCAACATGGACAGCTTCCAACGAAGCTGTATGATAAGTTTGATGAGTTCAATTTCCTTTTGATAATTTTGTATTTCAGGATAGTAACATTCCTGTCTCTCCAATATGTGTTGTTTACATGTCGCAGTTGATTCGATATTCAAGGGCCTGTTCACAATATCAAGAGTTCCCATCAAGATGTTGTCATCTGACGGACAAATTCGTAGTACAGGGTTTCAAAAAATGCAAGTTGATGTAAAGTATTGGGAAGATTAACGATCGTTTTAGTGTTCTTATTGAAATTTTATGGTATTTCTTTGTGCCGGACTTGTTTTTTCAGGAATCTTTGTGTAAATCGTTCTTTTTGTTCATATTTTGTCCTAGTTTGATTAAATTTGAATTTGGATTATCTTGTTTTTAGACTCGATTTAATTACAACAAACATTTCTTGTCTGGTTGGAAAAATCAAGACAAGATGATATTACCAGATATAGGTATGATGCAGTTTGATCCATTGTTTGACTCTACTCCAACTCTAAGTTTGTATTTGCTATTCACTTGTGTGTCTTTTTTGTACAACTATATTGATGTAGTCTCCGGAGCAGGTGATGCATCATTGTATTCCTTTGCAAAATACGGTAAGTTATTATTAGAATTTTCCACGTTTGATTTTCTAAGGAAACATTTTCTGTGCTGTGGAAATGCAATAATGAATAATAATTCTTATCGAAGTACAAGAAAATAACCACTAATAAATTTACATATAAATGTACACAAAAGTGTTGATATATTTGACTTACTCTGACACACTTGAGACATGTGTTATGCACTAGACCATGGAGTAGAAATCGGAGTGATGTTGTATCTATTCGGTTACTGTTTAGGTCAATGTCCTGTAGAGTGACGTTCTTTGGCAGTGACCTACACAATGCGATACATCCCTCCTTCCCAAGACCATTCCAGGCTAAGTTTATTGTATGTAGACCCTTGTTTACCTGGAGAGTACACAAGAATATTCAGTTTAAAGCCACATGAAGGTTAATGTTATTCTGCATATTTTGAAAAATTAACGGAAAACATCACCTGTATCTGTGTGCACTTTAAGTAGGAATCCTTCCACATGCAGTATATACAGTAGTGTTTGCTATGTTTCAGCATCTGTATTGTTATAACATCAGTGGCCATGTAAATGAGTGTTGCACGATAAAAACGGTTCAATGCTAATATTAAAAGTATCTGCCTATCATGTCTTATACTGATTATAACGTTCTTAATATAAAATCAATCATTCATAATCCAATTTGTAATCCTTGAAGTTGATCAGCCAGATTGACGGTGAACTGTCGCTGTATTAAAATATGCTATTCAATTGTAACCCTACTGGCTTCATCTTATTCGCGCGCTGGACGACATATCTTGTATCTTAAATTACATACTTTTTGGGCATGTTATACATTGTCATGCAAATATGAATATAATCGTGAGTATACTACAACGTACATTGTAAGCGATATTATACATTGTGATTGTAAGTAACAATCTAAAAAAAAACTCCATAAAGCAGTTATAACAAGCAAATGTAATTACAATAGCTCCGCATTGTCTTTCAATCATAAACTGTTCTAGAAGGGCTTACTTACATGTAATACTAATGAAAGATATTACAATATGCCTTGTATAAACAAGCATGTGTTTTGAATAATAATAATTCAACTCTATTTATATACGTTCATAGCGTATGGTTTCAATTAAAGTAAAGCTTTAATTACCTCCTGAAGTTCACATTTTGTATGGTATCAATTCGTTACAATGTTAAGTATTTCAGCATCCGTCTTACCGCTATTGCTTTGCACACTTGTTTGGCACTATCCCGGCGAATATGATTCCATTGTAGGTCAAGTGTTCGCAACGTGGTATTTCTTTCTGTAAAAAATCGTCACCAGTAAAAACGTTTAGCCTAATTCCTTAATGCTTTATACAATAAATTAAAAGATATGAGTACAAAATGATTGATAAAATACGATAATTTCATAGATGTGATACGAATGAAAGGAACCACTATGTTTAAATATGGAAAATGTTATTATCTATCACTTGTCTTAGAAATAAGGACGTATGAAAAAGTCTTATTTTTAGTTTACATTTAATCACAGCAGTTAAAGATTATCTCGTTCCCATCCCATTACAAATATAGCTGTCGCTGTGTTGTGCCTACTGTCCGTACTTGACGATAAAGACATATGCATTTGCAGGTATCTGCATTATATGACTACAATGAAATGTATTAATAAGACATTATTATGCAGCAACGTGTTTGGGTTTTTACATCTTCAACACCATGCAAGCAAAGTCATTTGAATGTTAATAATGCATTTGTTTTCCATTTAAAAATATAATACTTTTGTTTTATTTGTCGTTTAAGGAAAATGCAAGAGTTCTTAATGATTCGCCTATCTAATAAAATATAAAACAAAGTAATTATTTACACAAACAAAGAGCACGATTCATTAAACCGCGCACTTTACTTGTTGGTAAGAAACCCTCAGCACCAGCCTCATGCCATTCTGTGTTATCCTACAATTAATCAGACTATAGTATTTCCTCACATATTTCATTTATCAAAAACACTTCAACATTAACTCAATGTTGGATTTCTAAAATCCTGCCAAATTATTTCGTTAATATCAGTTTACCTATTGCACTTGCTAGGGCACTGAAGCCCTGATACCCTAGAGAATTGTGGCCCAGGTAAAGCTCCCGTAGTCGCACGCTCTGAAAATAATCATCACAATTGAATTGTACACAAACAGGAACAGTGTATCAATCACGTCAATTAAAAATATTTAATGGTTACAAAATATAAAATAAGATGTCCTAGAATTAGTCCTAGTTATCATTATTATACTACAACATTGAAAACCCGGTGCATATAAAAATATGTGACAGAATTCAAGAATGTTACGTTAATTGTTCTTACCTGTAACATCCTTACGATTGTTTCAACTTCCGTGTGCTCTATGTTATTGCCTGAAATAACAGGTTATCAAGATACTTTAAAATATCTCTGGATAATGTTCCATCGGCACAAATTAAAAAAACATCAGTACAACAAAACCAAAGCATCAACGACTGCCCCAGGAAGAAACATCAAAGACTGACTCAGGAGGAAACAGCAAAGACTGCTTCGTGAAGAATCATTAAAGACTGCGTCAGGAGGAAACATTAATGGCTGCCTCAGGAGGAAACATCAAAGACTGCCTCATGAGGACACTGCTGGGGGATTCACTTGGGTATACTGTATCTTTCTAAACTGGTATGGAAAGAGACGGATACATATGCATTTATTGTAAAATCCTTATTGAATATCTGCATACTCTCATGAAGTAAAATGCAACAAAGTGGGACTTTGTATACAATAGAAAAGAAACCTATCATTGCTTTTCTACTAGCTTCATATCCTTCAGTTATTCTCAGAATTGTTCTTTACATGGAAAAGTTTGTCGCACGGACAATAAGATGATTACAGCGTTACCTTGCAGTTTGAGAGTTCTGATAGAACCATTGTGTTGCAGTGCCTCGGCTAGAACTTCTAGTCCCTCAGGACCAGGGAAGGTTTCAGACAGATTCTGGAATAACAATTGTAGTTAATCACTTATAAGTTGACAGATACACAATGCTAAGTCTACATGGGAAATCGAAAAACATTGACACATATAGTATCTTATTTGTGTTCTTATTTTTCCAAGCACGATTCGAGGAACGGGTCTACTTGTGTGTTATTTTAAACAGCCTAATATTGGAGATAAAGTTTTTTTTCCTTGTCATTCTTGAAGACGACTCTTCTCTATTCAAATCAAAGCGCTATCAATATTTGAAAAATGAGGGATAACTAGAAACTTTGTTTCTTTGTCGAACAATTCCGTAAATGATCTAGGTAATCATAATTGACTGTTCCTGACAAACATCTTTTTTCTGTACATGCTTTTGCTATTACGCTGAAACCATTTCTTTTATTTCAACGTGTCAAAGGCTACCTACAAATATTATATTAAAACAGCGATATTGATAGGGCGCTATAGCCTGATGTTGGTTGTATTGCTCCTTTGTTTGTATATAAATCAAAGTTGTGTAAAACTGTGGTCTACCTTTAAAGATCGATTTGCACCTGTCAGGATAATGCTTGACGATATGTAATACATTAGATAATGTTAGACAGGGTTTAGGTATATTATTAACCTATAGTGATCCTTTGTCATTTTCATATCGACTGATAGATACTCTGTCCTACAGATGACGAGCGGGTGGACAATAAGGCGCTTTGCAAATCCCTCCATGAACGGTCCAGAGTGATTGACCGCATATCTGTATTATTCAGGAAAGTCCCTAGATAACAATGGACTACCATATCAGTACGTTTTGATCGATATAGAATCGACCGTCTGTTTTACGTATGTAAATATGCAATATTTATCTTCACATTGTGTGATGTACATATATATTACGCGAGAGCAGCAATGACGTCCTGTCTCATATTGATGATTTATGTTTGTAACGATATAAATTTCAATAGTTTTAGAAGTTATGAACAGTTCTAATATTAAATAATTTACAACATTCAGCCAGAACGTATTGTGAACGATCTTTACAACTATCTTAATGATGCGAAGTAAGGTATTTAAACACATTTATATTTTAGACGACCTCAGATCTGTTTGATATTTATTATCTTTATTTTAAGGACTTACATATTGTTAATAATATCACGATTTAAACGATAATTGTTGGGGTAAAGACAGGATGTCTTAAAACATATTACTGTTTATTTGAGTTGAATACCTTACATCCTACTCAATAAATAATCTGTAATTTCACACCCATCGAGGCATTTAGTCATAACATCCACAACAATGTTCTAGAATAAATGAACGAGGTTTAAGCAATATGTTACTATGAATTATACAATCAAGTCTAAACTAGACATTTCCCAATGTTAAGTGATCTGTGGCATTGAATTATAAGTTAAAAAATACATTTTTATTTGAAATGCAATGCATTTAAATCCGCTTGTCATGCAATGACTGCGCGGTTTCGTCCTTTGTTGGTAGGGAGTCTAAATCGGCTAATGTATTTTGTGACTTGGACCATCCAGTCACTATCTTTTATATAAACGAGGTTTACTAGCTGATCTCTGACGATCACAACGTCGTAAAAAATGAGAATATTTATATCTTATATATATATATATATGCATACGTGGCTAGATATGAAACGGTAATCCTGGTTGTTACATCATAGTTGTATGTGTTTACAGTTGTGTGTAAACACACAGGCTGATTGACTATAGTGCTGTGTGTGTTCATACATGATGATTGACTACAGTATTGTGTGTGTACATACATGATTATTGACAACATACATGATTATTGACAACAGTGTTGTGTGTGTGTACATACATGATGATTGACTATAGTGTTGTGTGTTCATACATGATGATTGACTATAGTGTTGTGTGTACATACATGATGATTGACTACTGTGTTGTGTGTGTACATACATGATGATTGACAACAGTGTTGTGTGTTCATACATGATGATTGACTATAGTGTTGTGTGTACATACATGATGATTGACTACAGTGTTGTGTGTGTACATACATGATGATTGACTACAGTGTTGTGTGTACATACATGATGATTGACTATAGTGTTGTGTGTGTGTACATACATGATGATTGACTACAGTGTTGTGTGTGTACATACATGATGATTGACTATAGTGTTGTGTGTGTACATACATGATGATTGACTACAGTGTTGTGTGTGTACATACATGATGATTGACTATAGTGTTGTGTGTGTACATACATGATGATTGACTACAGTGTTGTGTGTGTACATACATGATGATTGACTACAGTGTTGTGTGTGTGTACATACATGATGATTGACTACAGTGTTGTGTGTGTACATACATGATGATTGACTACTGTGTTGTGTGTGTTCATACATGATGATTGACTACTGTGTTGTGTGTGTTCATACATGATGATTGACTACAGTGTTGTGTGTGTACATACATGATGATTGACTATAGTGTTGTGTGTACATACATGATGATTGACTATAGTGTTGTGTGTGTACATACATGATGATTGACTACAGTGTTGTGTGTACATACATGATGATTGACTACTGTGTTGTGTGTACATACATGATGATTGACTACTGTGTTGTGTGTGTACATACATGATGATTGACTACTGTGTTGTGTGTGTACATACATGATGATTGACTACAGTGTTGTGTGTGTACATACATGATGATTGACTACAGTGTTGTGTGTACATACATGATGATTGACTACTGTGTTGTGTGTACATACATGATGATTGACTACTGTGTTGTGTGTGTGTACATACATGATGATTGACTACAGTGTTGTGTGTGTACATACATGATGATTGACTACTGTGTTGTGTGTGTACATACATGATGATTGACTACAGTGTTGTGTGTGTGATTGACTACTAGTGTTGTGTGTACATACATGATGATTGACTACTTTGTGTGTGTACATACATGATGATTGACTACAGTGTTGTGTGTGTACATACATGATGATTGACTACTGTGTTGTGTGTGTACATACATGATGATTGACTACAGTGTTGTGTGTGTGTACATACATGATGATTGACTACTGTGTTGTGTGTGTACATACATGATGATTGACTACTGTGTTGTGTGTGTACATACATGATGATTGACTACTGTGTTGTGTGTACACACATGATGATTGACTATAGTGTTGTGTGTGTACATACATGATGATTGACTACTGTGTTGTGTGTGTACATACATGATGATTGACTATAGTGTTGTGTGTGTACATACATGATGATTGACTACTGTGTTGTGTGTGTACATACATGATGATTGACTATAGTGTTGTGTGTGTACATACATGATGATTGACTACAGTGTTGTGTGTGTACATACATGATGATTGACTACTGTGTTGTGTGTGTACATACATGATGATTGACTACAGTGTTGTGTGTACATACATGATGATTGACTACAGTGTTGTGTGTACATACATGATGATTGACTACAGTGTTGTGTGTGTGTACATACATGATGATTGACTACAGTGTTGTGTGTGTACATACATGATGATTGACTACAGTGTTGTGTGTGTACATACATGATGATTGACTACTGTGTTGTGTGTGTACATACATGATGATTGACTATAGTGTTGTGTGTGTACATACATGATGATTGACTATAGTGTTGTGTGTGTACATACATGATGATTGACTATAGTGTTGTGTGTGTACATACATGATGATTGACTACTGTGTTGTGTGTGTACATACATGATGATTGACTACAGTGTTGTGTGTGTACATACATGATGATTGACTACTGTGTTGTGTGTGTACATACATGATGATTGACTATAGTGTTGTGTGTGTACATACATGATGATTGACTACAGTGTTGTGTGTGTACATACATGATGATTGACTACTGTGTTGTGTGTGTACATACATGATGATTGACTACTGTGTTGTGTGTACATACATGATGATTGACTATAGTGTTGTGTGTGTACATACATGATGATTGACTATAGTGTTGTGTGTGTACATACATGATGATTGTGTGTGTGTGTACATACATGATGATATAGTGTTGTGTGTACTGTGTTGTGTGTGTACTGTGTTGTGTGTGTACATACATGATGATTGACTACAGTGTTGTGTGTGTACATACATGATGATTGACTACAGTGTTGTGTGTGTACATACATGATGATTGACTACAGTGTTGTGTGTGTACATACATGATGATTGACTACAGTGTTGTGTGTGTACATACATGATGATTGACTACTGTGTTGTGTGTGTACATACATGATGATTGACTACAGTGTTGTGTGTGTACATACATGATGATTGACTACAGTGTTGTGTGTGTGTACATACATGATGATTGACTACAGTGTTGTGTGTGTACATACATGATGATTGACTACAGTGTTGTGTGTGTACATACATGATGATTGACTACTGTGTTGTGTGTGTACATACATGATGATTGACTACAGTGTTGTGTGTGTACATACATGATGATTGACTACTGTGTTGTGTGTACATACATGATGATTGACTACTGTGTTGTGTGTGTACATACATGATGATTGACTACTGTGTTGTGTGTGTACATACATGATGATTGACTACAGTGTTGTGTGTGTACATACATGATGACTACATATGATTGACTACTGTTGTGTGTGTGTACATACATGATGATTGACTACAGTGTTGTGTGTGTACATACATGATGATTGACTACAGTGTTGTGTGTGTACATACATGATGATTGACTACAGTGTTGTGTGTGTACATACATGATGATTGACTACAGTGTTGTGTGTGTACATACATGATGATTGACTATAGTGTTGTGTGTGTACATACATGATGATTGACTATAGTGTTGTGTGTGTACATACATGATGATTGACTATAGTGTTGTGTGTGTACATACATGATGATTGACTATAGTGTTGTGTGTGTACATACATGATGATTGACTATAGTGTTGTGCCTGCTTTCTAGTATGTTGCTTATTTGTGTAGAGGAACGTTTTCAATTATCCAAAATAAAGTTTTATGATAAAGCTATAATGAAGTTTAAACCACACGGGCTTCTTTTTACGAAGCTTTGATGTTTAATTGGTGTGTTCATGCACTGTTAATATCTTAGTAGTCATGATTGTAAATATGTACCATAGGTAAAATTGCATCATATTTAATTAACCCGACATATTCGGATCTTTTGTGATGAATGTAGATACTTGATTTTATATCATGTCGTTATGAATACAAGTAGCGAGGCTTTGACGTAGTATTACGAGAGGTTGAAGTATAAATTGTTCAGAAGGCAGTGTCTTTTGAAGGCTGATAGTCCTATTAGCAACACAATCGAATACATTCAATAAGGGACAACAGCTGAAAAATCACGTAATTACACTTCTGTACATTTATTAAACATGTTAATATTTGTTCGCTACACACAATTATGCGTCAAACTTTCATGCAGAGACTCATTCCTCATAATGACATACCAGTTCAATCAAGGTATTGTTCCTGACAAGCATTTCACTTATGTACATGACTCCAAGAGGTCCCAACTTATTGTTTGATAAATCTAGACTGACGATCCTTTTGTCTCTCTGAAAAAAATATTATATATGTGAATGTTTATCTTAGATTGCTGAAATACAATCAATATTCCCACGTATTGGTGGTTCATTATAAACTTTAAGGTTGATACAAGTAAAATTTATTCTAAACTTTGAGAGAGTGGTGACAACTTTTTGATTTCAGAACTGAAATTACAAAAAAAAAAAAAAAAAAGATAAAAATAAATAAATAAATAAACGTACCACTAGAGACACTGCTATTGCCTTCATATCAGAGGCTGTGATGAGGTTGTTGGCAAGGTCGATACTAGTTGTAGTTGGTACCTGAAGCTGGCGAGTATAATTAGACAGGGCGGTGACCTTACAACGTTTACATGCCAGTAGGTAAACATCGGCTGTCTTCGTCGTTTTTCGTCGAGGCGTCACGAACGTCTTCACATCTTCAAGTTTCACGTCTGTAATTGAGGAGAGCGTTGGCTATGTCAAGGTGGTCATAGTTCATATCAAATGAACAGAATCGAGACACTTGCATGTTTAAATCTATCAGGTAAGTATCGGTTATTAAAGTACATCATAACCAAACATTAAGGAAAGGTCGAGATTGAACATAAAAATTATCATGTTTGGATGTGATTGGGTTATGCACCATGAAATCTAGAATAATTTCATTACAAAAATGAAAGACTTCGAGATAAACATGTGTTTCACATAATGTTTCACTTTCTGAAATTCAAATTTTCACCGTTAGAAGCCACATAATTCCTCCTCCCCTCCCCTCCTGCCCCACCCCAAATTAAAAATGCAACACGTCGTACATTCTCTGATACAAGTATAACCAATAGAAAGACAGCCATGCGTGGATATTGTATCGGAAAGTGTACTGGTATTAACCCTAGTGTGTTTAGACGTGGCTTATCACATGTCACAGACGATTATATTTAGAATAAATAGAGGTAATACCTAAGCGATTAACCTGTTAAATCAGTTACAGTTGGCATGTTTTAATCCTGACCTGTACACAATCATTTGATTTCAATATAGCTTGGTGTTAAAGTCTGATCGAGTAATTGACCATTCAGCTGGGAGAATGATATGTTGGTTTATGAAAGGATATGAACCTACTGAATGTTATCCATTTCTACATTTAGATATTTCATTTAAACTTTTGTATGCGACCGCAAAATGTCTCAAATATAAAACGTCATGATCATTATTATTAATAATCAAGTCAGACAGAGGAAGTTATATATGTCATAAAAATTGGATTTTTCTCCTGTTCATTCTTTCTAAATGAAACTGATATTTCAATAAAAGTATTTGACGCATATGTAGTTCAAGTATTTGTAAACAATCTGCTTTACACAAATTATTACTGATTAATATATTTTTTTTACAAATATGTCTTTCCGTGTTGATGCATATGTTAATTTACAAAGCATTTGTTGGGTATTTTAACAATATAAGCCAGATCCGCTTTCGTTATAGATTGCGTAACTAGCGACTGAAATATTCCGGTAGAGAGAAACCCACAAATTCGTTTCACAAGTATTGAAAAACTTTTATGACAATGCAAACATTTCAAACATAACAATATACCTGAGGAGGAGGAAGGGGGAGGGGGAGGGGGGAGAGAGTCAGTCTTATTCTTCTATCTTTACATTTATGTTTACTGCGGTTTAATACAGATTATTATAGAATTTTTACACAATCAGTGATATATAGAATCTAGTCTTTGTATGAATTACAGCATGTACGTGTATTGTTATATTCAATTACTAGGCCATATTACAGACATTCACTCGTTTTTCTAAAAATATTGTGGTATTCTTCAAGCAAACATTAAATGGCACTCAGGTGTTAACAGAGGATAACAGAAAATAAAGGGGGGTACACCAAATATATAACACCTGTCACGCTATTAAAACGACCATTCTCTCAATTCTCTACTGACTGAGGTATAATTCCGTTTACAAATTTGAATAATTTTGCGATGAAAGGTCTAAGAAATTCCGTTTAGTTATAATTGTGATTATCTTAAAACCTATACTGCCATAAAGTATTGTTATATCAAATTAAATCAAATGTAATCAACAATCACTGTTAGGCCCATGTACGAAAAATAGGAAATCTTTTGTTACGAATCAATAAATTAAAATAAATTAAATGTATGACACCACTTACACCAATGTCTTTAAGACTGGAGCATTATCATCTCCCCCTTGTATTGATCCCGTCCACCACAACGGTCGGAATATATATATATATTGTCTCTATGTATGAAATGATCTTCTTCGGAAAAAAAAACCCTTTTTATCTTAGTGAAAGGAGTGAGATAAAAGGCAGATAACACAGGGTTGTTGTAACAGGGTTTAGTTGTCTAGGACCACTGTGTTAGCGTATGAGTAATTGCAATCGAAGACTTTGATGCAGTATTAGCAGGACGTGGGTGTTAGATATCAAATGACTATTGTATTAGTGTGAACGCTAAAGGGATTCAGAATTTTTAATGATTAGGAATCTATGACTCATGTTTAGGTGTGTAAAGGTGATATGTTGTCTGTACAGTTATAGGAATGTTTATGAATATTGTATCAGAGTTGGATGTTGAAAACCAGATATTGTATATGGTAGATATTTTATGATATTACATGTTGTCTGTACAGTTATAGGAATGTTTATAATATTGTATCAATGTTATGGTAGATATTTTATGATATTAATATAGGAATGTTTATGAATATTGTATCAGAGTTGGATGTTGAAAGCCAGATATTGTATATGGTAGATATTTTATGATATTACATGTTGTCTGTAAAGTTATAGGAATGTTTATGAATATTGTATCAGAGTTGGATGTTGAAAACCAGATATTGTATATGGTAGATATTTTATGATATTACATGTTGTCTGTAAAGTTATAGGAATGTTTATGAATATTGTATCAGAGTTGGATGTTGAAAGCCAGATATTGTATATGGTAGATATTTTATGATATTACATGTTGTCTGTAAAGTTATAGGAATGTTTATGAATATTGTATCAGAGTTGGATGTTGAAAGCCAGATATTGTATATGGTAGATATTTTATGATATTACATGTTGTCTGTAAAGTTATAGGAATGTTTATGAATATTGTATCAGAGTTGGATGTTGAAAGCCAGATATTGTATATGGTAGATATGTTATGATATTGGTATGCTTTACATTGTACTACAGAATTATACATACGTATCTATAAAGTGTATGTCAGGATTTGTCGAATATTTCTAAAGCATTGATTCATAACGTTTCTTTCGAGGATATCGTTTAGTTCAGATTTGTAGAATGAAGTTTGATTAGTGGCATTAATCACTTAACGGGTACAGAGTCTTGTGTCCCACCTGTCAGTCTATAAGTACACTTCAGAATTGGCAAACCTGTCGTTCTACAGGAACACTACGGGTTGGGACCGTTTGTCAGTCTACTGGAACATTTCAAGACAGACCACCTGTCCTGAAGCGTCGGAAATTCCATTGAGTGATCGCTTAGTAATTGTATCCAAATTCAATTGAAAACGGTTTATTTCAAATTCAATAGCCGAGATAGAAGCACCTGTCATCCCCCATGGACACTTTAGGACAGTGGTTACTGAGGTGCCATATCTAATTGTACTTATATAAATAATTCTAGCTGTTATATGGCATAGGAATCATGCATATTGTTAATTCTTGGTAATATGCTTTAATTGTGTCACTAATTCTTAATAATATTCGGACAGATTTCCATGGTTACGTAATGACATCGTGTATACAAGTGACTTTTGATAATCAGATATATAATATTTCATTTGGTTCACACATCGGACAGATACAAACGTGACATTATGACAGCTGACTTCAATTGAGACGGATGGATCTATATACTTATTCCAAAGTAGTTAAATTCATAGAAGATTGTGCTCATTATTCTTTTTATCGAATTCATCGATGATATTAAGAATTAGCGAGAACTACTTAAGATGCAGTCATAGAATATATATACTAAACCTTAACAAGGCAATGTTTCGAAAACAAACTATTGATTCATTTAATAATCTGAAATAAATTTTAGCATAACAAGACATCAACATGCTGTAAAATATCCCGGCATATTTTCAATGCTACCAAAACCAGTTTCACGACAGAATCCATTTTATAGCCATGTGTGACACGATAATGTAGCAGGACACATCAAACATGATCGATGCTGCGTTTAAGTCATAAATCTCAACAGATCTATCGTCACTGACCAATTATAATGGAACAAATTAACACTGGGTCTGACCTTGGCCCTATCAGCGATAGTTTAATGTGAGGACACATTCAAGATTTCAGCGATTGATTATCTGGAATACAGCGTGATATGCATGGCCAGTTAAGTGATCTATAAATGTTTATGTGACCTTATCAACAGTAGAAAGTTAAGTGTTTAAAAGCGTGCGTTTGGCTATGGCCTAAGTGTAATGTTGATATGTACTTGACCATTCATTAACCACTATAATGTATAGCACTGCCCGAGAATGATAGAAACGTCTTCGGGCCAAAGTAGGCCCCGAAGTAGACTTACTTTATTTTACATATTACTATTGATAAAGATATTTTTCGGTACAAAAAGGTGATCGTAATCATCTCATTTTATAAATATGGAATATTTCATTAATTAAAATTTTTCCATCAATTGACTGTAAAAATGTAACTTTAATATTTGCCGATGTCATTATACGTTACATGAGATCAAAGGCTGTAAGAAACAAGGCAATAACTTCGATATCGTCAGCATTCTATATTTACGTTGTGGTTTTCTTGTAATCTCGTGTTGTTATCCAAAATTTATTTTAAAAAACCAAAATGGAAAGTCCTGGACTCTTTAAATGACAAGACCGTGTGCTTAAGAAAGGTGAGCGTACACGATACTGTAATCTCTGTTAACCCAAGTAAGTGTTGTCAACTGAGGATCAAGTGTTTGTAACAACGAAACCACCAGCCCTATTAACGAGCATCGGACACATCGTCATATCACACAACAAAACCACCAGCCCTACTAACGAGCATCGGACATATCGTCATATCACACAACAAAACCACCAGCCCTACTAACGAGCATCGGACACAACGTCATATCACACAACAAAACCACCAGCCCTATTAACGAACATCGGGCACATCTAAGTTCATATCACACAACAAAACCACCAGCCCTATTAACGAACATCGGGGACATCTAAGTTCATATCACACAACAAAACCATCAGCCCTACTAACGAACATCGGGCACATCTAAGTTCATATCATACAACAAAACCACCAGCCCTACTAACGAACATCGGACACATCGTCATATCATACAACAAAACCACCAGCCCTACTAACGAACATCGGACACATCGTCATATCACACAACAAAACCACCAGCCCTATTAACGAACATCGGGCACATCTAAGTTCATATCACACAACAAAACCACCAGCCCTACTAACGAACATCGGGCACATCTAAGTTCATATCATACAACAAAACCATCACCCCTACTAACAAGCATCGAACACAACTTCATATCACACAACGAAACCACCAGCCATACTAACGAGCATCGAACACAACTTCATATCACACAACGAAACCACCAGCCATACTAACGAGCATCGCACACCACTTCATATCACACAACGAAACCACCAGCCATACTAACGAACATCGGACACATCTAAGTTCATATCACACAACAAAACCATCAGCCCTACTAACGAGCATCGGGCACATCTAACTTCATATCATACAAGGATACAGCATATTTTCCAACTAGGATGAACACAATAAATTTTCACAAAGTTTCCAAATAAGTGCATTTATGGAAAGCCCCTGTCACTTGTTGACATCTTTCGACCATACGTCGGGAGGAACACTTTGGCTATCTAATCAACTGCGACAAGTAAACACTATATATATATATATATATACCTAATTAGATTTAATAGACTTTACATGAGAACTGGAATGAGAAACATAATCCTATGTTATATTTTTGGTAAAAATCAGGATTGTAGTGATTCCGACGGAAGTGGTATATCACGGAACCTTCAGATTGTTGTTGATAAAAGTTCTGATAGCACTACTTGTGTATTACTGTTAACTTCTGTTCTAAGGACCTAGTATCTTTTGTTTAATGGAAACACAAATCTTTGGACAAATGTTAGATCTATAACTCATCTGTTACAAGATGCTCGGTAATAAGTATATAGTTTGTTGAGAGAAAATCCTGTATCTCGGAGAGTAATGACAATAATACAACAACAAAAATGGAGAAAACCCACGTACCGTTTGCTATAACAAAAGACAGATAATATTATACTTCACAATAGGATGGACATCAGCGTCATGCAATGAAATTCGGAAGAAATATGAGTGTATTTGTGTTCAATAAATTAATTTGTGAAGAAAATAAGTATTTAATTCGAGATGTATGTTTATAGATACGTTACATGACGTAGAATACTGTCGACATTTCAGTGGATGAATCGACATGCACGAATTTTCAAATAATTATGTTAAATTTAACTATAAATCTACTATCATGTTGCTATGACAATGTTTGTCAGGTAAATTAAACCACCAAATTTTACTAGCGTGGTCAATTTGTATTTCAATGTTCAAAGAAAATAACTAAACTGGACCGACGAATGCTTACCTTCGTTTGCGTCATAATCATAATCCTCTACGTAATCTTTCTTTGTAGGAGTTGGGGACATATCAGGAATGACAGGCAGTGGTGGAACGTCTTGGTTAGAAACACTATCCCCATTTAAACAATTGTCTCCACTCCGTAAATTTCCTATGGACAAACTTTTCGAAGAAAGTTTCGATGTTTCTCTGTTTAGACCCTTCGGTTTTCTAAATCGACCCTGTTTTTCATAAAACGTCCGTTCCCTCGTGTCCATTCGGTACATAACCTCATCCATGTCTGCCAAAGTTCTGAAATATTCTTCCGGTGGGATCAGAAGCCTATGACATCCGGCCCTTACGTACTGCCGTAACCTCTCCCACCGGGCCAATGCCTTTGCTTTACCTGGAAGTCATTAATAACATATTCCATGACAAATTAGGCTCTGTACATCACACTCTGATTTGTCGTGGCTGTAACAAATACTTAAAAGAGTTCCTTATGTAAATTTATGATAAGCATTAGTATATGAACATTGTATACCAAATCGTTATATACACAAGTATAGGAATGCCTTACTCCGTCTAATGTAACATGCTTCTCAGTAGGATATTAGCGCGCGAGCAGTCTAAGTAGAATATAACGTAATGTACCGTAGAGTTATAGTGACAAGGCTCGGGCCCTACCACACGGAGAACATCAGAACTATCGCGTTAGGCTATTGATGATTCCTACTGTCGATTGTCATGGCACGTTGGCCTGTTTGCACAACCCTCACTGACGAAATTGACATTTAAATGTCCACCCCTTTATGTCTCCCTTAAGCGGAGGAATATACAAAACGACTTACCTCATCAGTTATAAATATGTTTATTTATTCTACTTTTTCTACATCTATGGGATTTATCTAAAGAAATCTCATCCACTAATCTGCTTTTGAATAACATAGCTTCTGCTTCACCAATAATTTAATTTATAGACAGATCATTACAGCATCCATAATGTTTATTTTGGTTTACGGTGTTGTCAACCAATTACTCCTAAAATCCTATATTAATAACGTAAGACGTGATATCATATTGCTATGTATAAATATTATCTTTTCCTACATTTACTGTCCAATTCAATATTTATTTTACTTTAAGGACCTTAACGTGTACTTCACAGGTTATCTCAAACATTGCTGTGAAAATAATATAATAATCAGTAGTTCTAATTTCAAGTCATGTAATATCTCCATATAATCGTATTGTAGACAGGGGCTAGGTCTGAAGTAGGTGTTTAAGGTCTGTCTGTGTAATCACGAGTTAGGAGCCCCGGCACCATCAATACACAAATAAGTACGTTCAATATCATTTGTACAGTTCTTGATTGTCATACTAAGGCATATATACAAAATCTATAAAAGTGCTTGTTTAAATCTCACTCCATACCATCCTCATTTGCATTCGAATTATTATCAGTTTTTACAGGTAATATCGAAGCCTTCTGATGATAGATCACTGTATTCCATACAATTATTATGCAGATAAGCTTGCTGGAAGATTGATTTCGGAAAATAGATCTGATTGACCACCGCTGCTATAGACGTGTGCGGTACGACAAAAAGACATAGTAACTTATACAGTATTGCGTGTAACACAACAAATGTGGTGACATGTATCGTATGTGACACAACATATGTGGTTACATGTATCGTATGTGACACATGTGGTGACATGTATCGTATGTGACACAACAGATCTGGTTACATGTATCGTATGTGACACAACATATGTGGTGACATGTGTCTTATGTGACACAACATATGTGTTGACATGTGTCGAATGTGACACAACAGATGTGGTGACACCTATAGTATGTGACACAACAGATGTGGTGACATGTATCGTATGTGACACAACATATGTGGTGATATGTATCGTATGTGACACAACAGATGTGCTGACATATATCGTATGTGACACAACAGATGTGGTGATATGTATCGTATGTGACACAACAGATGTGCTGACATATATCGTATGTGACACAACAGATATGGTGACATGTGTCGAATGTGACACAACAGATGTGGTGACGTATATCGTATGTGATACAATAGATGTGGTGACATGTATCGCAGGTGACACAACAGATCTGGTAACATGTATCGTATGTGACACAACAGATGTGGTGACGTATATCGTATGTGACACAACAGATGTGGTGCCATGTATCGTATGTGACACAACAGATGTGGTGACGTATATAGTATGTGACAATAGATGTGGTGACATGTATCGTAGGTGACACAACAGATGTGGTGACGTATATCGTATGTGACGCAACAGATGTGGTGCCATGTATCGTATGTGACACAACAGATGTGGTGACGTATATCGAATGTAACACAACAGATGTTGTGACATGTATCGTATGTGACACAACAGATGTGGTGACATGTGTCGAATGTGACACATCAGATGTGGTAACGTATATCGTATGTAACACAACAGATGTGGTGACATGTATCGTATGTGACACATCAGATGTGGTGACATGTATCGTATGTGACACATCAGATGTTGTGACATGTATCGTATGTGACACAACAGATGTGGTGACATGTATCGTATGTGACACAACAGATGTGGTGACGTATATCGTATGTGACAAAACAGATGTTGTGACATGTATCGTATGTGACACAACAGATGTTGTGATATGTGTCGAATGTGACACATCAGATGTGGTAACGTATATCGAATGTGACACAACAGATGTGGTGACGTATATCGAATGTGACGCAACAGATGTGGTGACAAGTGCATAAATTATAGCTGACGTGTAAACTCATAAACTGTTCATTTCACAGCTTTTCAATCGTGAAATATTACAAAGTTTCTTTTTATTTTCCTGTTAGAATGAAAAGCTTTTGTCAATCAAATCTAATATTCATCTCCACGGTATTAATGATAACACAGTGGTAGTTACAATGTTGTAATGAAGAATCATACCGTATTTACAACGAACACAACAACACTCAACAGAAAAACTTTCTCCGGCAAGTGAATATTAAGGAGTGTACCATCAATACATGGTACATGCCTTACCGACACAACAATGAAAACATTTCAACTTCCGAGGAATTTTATCAATATATTGCTAGTTCATTTATGTCAGAAGCCAAATTTATTAAAATGTCCAATGTTTAAATCTTATTGTAGATTCTTAAATGACAATGTAAGTACGTGTAAAAACAACAATGACTGATTACAAACACAATGACAGTAAACATAAACGTTATTGAAATGTTGACATAACTTGTAATACAAATCATCATTATATAACCAAAGTTTGTACTTACTTAGTCTCATACTGGATTTTAAATTTCCGAGAGAATTATTACAACGAAGATATACAAGAAACCCTTTGTCATCCAGGCAACATAGCGGGTATTAGAAACGCACAGTTCACTGAAGGATAGTAATAAAGAAATACTGGCCTCAGGTAGGAACAGGTCTACCTGTATGCATACATTGCACTTTAATATACTTAAAGTAGAACGATCAGAATAAAATAAGATTATCCCATAATAACGATTTATATATAACGTTAAGTATACATATCATAGTGTGTTACCTATCGGTAAGTAAATAGTTAAGACATAACATGCCAATATCACAAAGAGCGAGACACGTAACGCGTACATTACCATCCCTAATTATATATACAGGGATTATATAGACACGAATTCATATCTTTGTCCGGGCACTTCACAGTTTTCAATAAGATCTTGACGCATCGTTAATATGTTCTAATCAGTTCCTGTAAATTCATTACAGTTGGTCAGGTTGGGCGACTGTAATTTGAAAGGTACAAACAGAAAAATACAAAATATTGTCCTCGTTTACTCCCAAGGTCGTGCATTTCAATAATTCTTTGTAGGACAAAAATACTAACCTCTGTTTTAGAACAATGAGAGCATGAATAAAACATTTATCATTTGTAGATGTCGAAAAACTGAAAAGAGAAGCCAGCACCATTTCTAAAGGACGTAACCAGTGACGACCACTTACTCATAAAAGTTCTTATAATCGAAGGAATATCGTTCACTTTAAAGCTATGATGGCTACAGAGAACTGAAACTGTTTTTAGTTGTTAGGAAAATATCGACCGATTGAATTTTTACTATCTTTTTAAATGTCTAAACACAATCATCATTCTGTTCAATGGTTCAATGGTACAATGGTTCAGTGGTCATATTCAGTCATAGGAATTATTATTTAAAAAATAACTTTACAAAAATTAAAAATAAATAAACCGTCTTTATATCTAATTTTGTGATGTGAACTTTAGATGATGACATTCATGAAATTCTCTCTAAAACGCTAAGTATGTGTGTTAGCTTCGTCTTAGTCATGTAGAAGTTTGAAATAAACTGTGCACTTCTTTAAAACAATATTATTGTAATACTGACATTCGTTTACAATCAGAGTAGTACATCTATATTGATGTATTCTATAAAAAGCATACTTACTTTGGGGGAAGTATTCCTTTGTCCGTCTCAATAAAACAGTTTACGTATCTATCGTGACCTAACACATGCCAACTTATGTAATAAAAGACAACCGAGAAACACTTGCTAATTAAAACACCACTATCAATATTATCAGATGTTAGCGACACTTTGTTATCTGAAATATCACGAAATTTTGTAAGACAAGTTAAACACTTCCTTGTGTTATAGATAGAACACACCAAAAACACGTAGGGTAATGTTACATCTAGAAGATGTTCCCTGTTTCAACATAATTCTCGTTTATAGATTTTTTACTTTGCAGATTTCCCTTGGTATAAATACAAACCGGTATGTCTGGAAATACGTCCTAAATCTGAACCTCTCAGTAACAATAATTTTGAGATTGCTGATTAGAGAAAGGATAACTGAACAGCGGGTAGCGATATTATGACATAACGAATTGGACACTGAACTATGTCACTCATTCGCTCTTCGTGATAGGTAGTGTATAATATTGATTGATAGCGGGGGGTAAACTATCAACACATGCCTATACTATCTTTCTATAACACCTTAATCTCTAGGCATAGGCTCTTCACATCACGATCCTTACACTTATGAATGACATAAGATAACTCGTGGAGGATTTTACTATAGAAAAGTAAGTTGATTGATGGCGTGATGTTGGTGACAACGAACTATACAAATAACACAAAGACTTCCCTTTCTATAGACTTCAAATACGACACAGATATTCAAGATTAACCCCAAAATATCATAACCCTTAATAAAACATGTGTGACCTGTGACGAGCAGTCTGAAATACAATATAAACAGCTTCGTAAATTAAGAAATAACTACATAGTATCGTATCGCCCGATGAGCTTAGAAACATATGTTT